ATGGGGGAATTTCACTTTGCAATGATCAGTTCCCTGCTTCGGGAACTGATTCTTTGCAAAATGACAGTTTTCAAACAGCTGATGGGCAGTTTCAAAATGGCCACCAGGTAAATAAAATGGCTCCCCGCTGTGTTTAGGGACAGATTCCTCACTATACAGGCAGTGAAAATGGCCATCGTATGGAGGATCTTTGCTGGACGGTGAGTTTGAAGCCCATTGGAACGCATTGAAAGGTTTTTTTAAAAACCTTTCAATGCGTTTCAATGGGCATTTTTTCGCTTTACGATGTTTTTGCTTAACGGCAATTTTCCTGGAACGGATTATCGCCATTAAGCGAGGCACCACTGTAATTGAACGGTGCTTTGTATACTTTGTGCAAAAATTAAAAAACTGTTAAGAATTGCATCTGGCCCTGCTTGCTTTGCTTTGACCCTGCTGGGTCCTTAGCTTCATTAGTAAGATGTAATCCCTGAAACTCTCTCCAAATTGGAATTTGGCCCCCATGATAAAAGAAATTTCCCCACCCTTGCAGCAGACTAGTAGTCCTAGAATATGTAATTCTGTCTCATCCTGTACCCAGAAGCTGTGTTTTCACATGGTGTTCATCATGCACATAGGTTGCTGATAACAGAGATCCAGATACGCAGTCAGATAAGATGTCAGAATCAAACTACAATCAAACTATTTGTTTGGGTCATTGTAACAAAGTAGAAATGCAACAACTGGGACAGAAATTTTCGAAACAGAGTCAGCCAAAAGAGGAATAATCTATTAATACTCAAAAAAGTGTTATGTGCAAGAGTTCTTAACCATCTTGTCAGTACTGCTCTTCTTTTTTACAGTACTGGGAGACCTGAGCCAGCTTGATCTGGGAAGTTTGTCTCACGCTAGAACTAGGCAAAATGCAGCCCGAGGGCCACATATGGTCCGTGAGCTGCTCCTGTCCAGCTCGCGGACAGTTTTGAACATCAAAACCATTTATAGCTTTTTGTCTAAAGTTGATCAGTTGCTTATCTTCAACATACCTCACGAAACCTCTTTAGTATTTGTGAAGATTAACAAGTTTAAAATAAAAACAATCATAACATCACTGTTTCATTTTATTTTTAAGTAAAGTTGGTTCGGCCCCCGAACACAGTTCAGATTTTTCATGTGGCCCCCTATAGAAATTAATTGTCCACCCCGTCTCACACTGTATGAAATAATGTCAGATTCCATTTTTTCAGTGTGAATTTATCCTATTATGTGTGTGAAATTTTAAATATTGAAGGATGAACAGAGGTGTGTATGAGCCCCCCCTCTCCCAAGTCTATGCAGCAAAGTGAAGTGTTAGCTAATGTCCAGTGCTGGGGATGAAATTAACTGTGAAAAATGTTACTCACTTGTGCTGCTGGCTACCAAGCCTCATTGCCATGAATGCTGTTCTAACACACCCCTCATTTGTCTCTAGCAGAGGAAGACCCTAAGCTATAATGGAGACAGGCACCTGCTCTCTGATCTGCTTTGAGAGACTAACTAATTAAATGTTCACTATCCTATTATGGAAAGATAGAACCATCATATAGTAACTGTTATGAAATAGAGGCAGCTCCTCTGTACTACCGGACTGTACTATCCAACATTTCACAAAAGGAAACAGATATATCCTTGCAATATCCTCAGGATCACTTATAATGTTCATCTACTCCACCTAAATGTGGTTAATGATACTTAGAACTACTCTAGACATCAGAAAAATTACTTCTTTAGACTGCAGTTCATAGAATCCTCCAGCTCGCATTCACATACAGTATTAGCACGCATGTGTGCAAAGAAATTACATATGTTGGCACGCATGTGTGCAAAGAAATTACATATGTTCACAATGCAAATATATTTGCAGATCCAAAGAGAGGGCTGAACCATATCATGAGCATTATCACATTATCATGTATTTAACAGGATACCCTTAAAAGGGAGATCTAATGATGTGAGCTTAATTGTTCCTTGATTATTATGGACAAAACTATCATGGGGTTCCCCTTCAAGCAAACACAAATTTGTGTAGCTGTTGGGGAATGGGAATGGAAATGGAGACCTTCAAATACCTTAGGAACCTGAGGAACCCTCATGGGAAATTATTCAAATCTCCCTAGATCTGGAGAAATGGAAACTAGAGCAGGAAATGGAAACTCAGAACTCTTAGTATAGACTCAGAGAAAAAACTATGGAATTAGAAATTAGAGAAAAAGCCAGAGCTGAAGAGAAAGCTCAGGAATGACAGCTCAAAGCTGAGCAAGAGGCCAGACAAATGGAATTTCAAATACAGATGAATCAATTAGAATTAGCTGCTCAAAACAATAATAATAACAAGAACTCTAGTGAGGGAAATCTCTCAAAATTGATCTAAAGAAATTTCCCCAATATAGGAAAGGAGACTGCCCCGAATCTTTCCTGATTTCATTTGAGTGAGTATGCTGGGACTTTGAGATTAAGGATGATGAAAGGATAATAGTGTTGAGATCACAAATAAATGAAGATTTAGCTGAGCTTTATTCTCAGATGTCTCTAGAGCAAGCTAGAGATTTTGAGGCATACATAAAAATGGTATATTCTAGATTTGGCATAAATGCAGAACACCTTAGAAGAAAATTTCATTCCCTTACCAAAAATGTTTGGACAAATAGATGGACTGTGAAAATGTCACTTCTCTAGACCAAATGAAAAATGTGGTTGGTTTAGAACAATTTTATTCCATTTTGCCTGGGGAATCTCGTTATATTTGGTCAAAGACAAAAATCCTAAAAATGTATTACAGGCATCTAAATATGCTGATTCCGTCAGCGAGATTAGAGATCCTTGAATCCCTGAGGTAAATATTGGTAGAAAAGTGTGGGACAACAGGAGGAGAGGACCCCCACCCAGCAGAGATTACCTCAGAAGTACCGAAGCTACTGGAAGTACCCAAGCTACTGGAAGCCATTTTAAAGACAAGCCCTCCTCCATAGAGCAGAGTCACCTGAAACATAATACAGTGGTGCCTCGATTTACGACCATAATACATTCCAGAAGATAGACGTAAGTCGAAATGGTCGTAAGTCAAAGCACCATTTCCCATAAGAATGCATTGAAACCCCATTAATCCATTCTGGCCAAAGGAAAAAAATAAAAAAAATCACTGCAATACTTATTGGAAAGGCAATTAGTCCCTTCTGGCTGAAAGAAGGGGGAAGAAAAGCAATCAAACATGCAAAACCCATTGCAAATGCGCAGAAAACAAAGGAAAAAGCAAGGGAAGCATGCAGGACCCATTTGCAGATGCACAGAAAGCAAATGGAGCAGATTGGAAATGCACAGAAAACAGAGGGACAAAGTCGGAAATGTTCTGGCCAAAGGAAAAAAATCACTGCAATAGTTATTGGAAAGGCAATTAATCCCTTCTGGCTGAAAGAAGGGGAAAGAAAAGCAATCAAACATGCAAAACCCATTGGAAAAGCACAGAAAACAAACAGAGCAGATCGGAAATGCACAGAGAACAAAGGGGCAGGTTGGAAATGCAAAGAAAACAAAGGGAAAAGCAAAGGAAGCATAAAAGCAGAAAATAGCACCTTACCTTATCTAACAGGCAGTCCCAAGCCTCCCTGCAAACACACACACACACTCTGAGAAGCAGAAGCCAGGCAGTCCCTCCTTGATTGCACTCACTCTGTCAGGGCAAAAGAGCTACAAAGAAGCAGCCTCTTTCACCACCTACATGTAGTAATTTGAACTTCCCACCTTTTCCCCCTGCCTTTTTCTGTTTGTAAATGGAAGCTCCAGTTGCAAATAGAAGCATAAGTAGGGACGGTCATAAGTTGAGGCACCACTGTAGCTCTGAGGGAAAAGTTAACAGGGCTCTTTATTTTGAACCTAAGGCCAGTAAACCATGCTATGCGTGTGGGGAGAAGGTCATTTTTGGGCTCAGTGTGAGACTGAAAAGAATAGGGATTTTAACCAGCATAAAAATGAAAAAGATGATAGACCAAAAAAGGTTTACTGTATAAAACCAGTGGAAGCCACTGAAGGATGTTGTAACAATGGTTCTGTCTCCATAACAACTAGCACAACAGAAAAATCTGATCTGCCACAAGTCAGAGTCGCTCAATGCTTTCTTATAAAGGCAGATAATATTTTACTACAGAACTCTGGAGAGAAAATTCGTATTAATGAGACATCTTATGTTGGAATTGTAGATACTGGTTCCCATTTAACCCTATGTCATCCTGATGTGGTTCCTAAAGAACAAATACTTCCAAATCAAACTGTTACAATCAAGGGAATAAATTCTATGCCAGTGATTTTACCTATGGCTAAAGTAAAGATAAACTATAGAGACTGGGTTGGATACTGAGAGAGATAGAGCTGGTTAGGAAAATAGGTAGAGAAGGTGGTAATGATATAGCAAGAGAAAAGACGTATATACTGAAAGGACTGTTGATGATTTGCTTATGTATAAGGTGTATCTGAGAACTTCAACAAATAAATTCTGTTTCTGTTCACAAGTCAAGTGTTCAGACAAACATCATTTAAATTGTAGATTGAGGTAATCCACTGGTGGCAGTGAGAAGAAAACGTGACGTGAGCCTTTGTGAGGGAAAGACAAGCAGGGGCCACAAGGGCAAATGCCACAATGATCGATAAAAGGCATCACCTAAAGGGACGTGGTGGCACTGCAGATTAACCGCAGAATCCTCTGTGCTGCGAGGTCAGAAGACCAGCAGTCGTAAGATTGAATCCACGTGACGGAGTGAGCTCCCGTCGCTTGTCCCAGCTCCTGCCAATCTAGCAGTTCAAAAGCATGTTAAAATGCCGGTAGATAAATAAGTACCACCTCGGGGGGAAGGTAACGACATTCCGTGTCTAATCGTGCTAGCCACGAGACCATGGAAACTGTCTTCAAAGAAATGCTGGCTCTATGGGTTGGAAACAGGGATGAATGGGCATGACTGGACTAAATGTCAAGGGGTACCTTTACCTAGTTTGTACTGTTCCCACAACCATGCAAACCTTTTCCTGATTTTTCCTGAACTGTAAGATACCATAGAATGGCCTATCTCTCAACCGATGACTAATGTGCATTCTGGAACATCATGGACTCTTGACATGGTACTGCATCAACTAGGAAAACATTGACTAAGTAAAACTATGTACAGTATTTGACTTTAATTAAACTTAAATTGACTGTTCCTGGTGGCTGAACTAAATTCCCAATCCCAACTCTGTTCGAGGCAGGCCATGCCACTGGGCAGTCTCCCCTCCTCTAGCAAAACAAAAAAAACAACAATTATTTGAGTTTTGAAAAGGAAGAGAAGGGGAAATGTGGGGGCAGATTGCCGGACTGTCCTGTAATTTATGAGATAGGCCATACATTTCAAGCTGAGGACGAGTTTGGCATCTTTCTACACCATCAGTCATGTGGATTTGGGACATTAGTAACAGCATATACATTTGGAACTACCCACAAGAACTTGATGCACAGCCTTGGAGATGTTTTATCGCGGAAAGCTCGCGGTTTTTTGTTTGTTTGTTTGTTTTCTGTGTTGTTGTTTTTTGTTATTCTTATATTCTTGATGGTCGATTAAAGGTACTGCCTATTCCTGTATTTATATTGTATATTTCCCTGCTATCAACAAGTCACATACCCGGGCCTGGTGGGCAATCCTTTCCTTAAAGGAGAAGTGCATTTCCTTCTCTCCCCCCCCCACCTGCCTCGACTTTTGTCCGGCGGCTGGCCCATCAGCCGCCAATGGCTGCCGTCCCTGCTCCTCTAGAAAGTGACAAGCCAGGGAGCCAATCAGAGAGCTATCCTGCTGGCTGGGGGCCGGGCTTGCCGAGGCCCCAGGGGTGACCTGACCCAGCGGGGCCGGACAGGGCGCGCCGCCTCGCCCGGCAGGAGGGAAAGGGGCGGAGGCAGGATGGGGTGGCTGCGCCCGCGGCTTGCTTTCGCCACAAGCGGTCTCTTTCTTCCTCGTCGCGCCGCCGCCGCCGCCATGGCCCAGCTCCGCGCCTCTTCTTCCTCTTCCGCCACTGCCTTGGACTACCTGGTGCTGGGGGGCGGCTCGGGCGGGCTGGCTAGCGCTCGCCGCGCCGCGGAGCTCGGAGCCCGGGTGGCGGTGGTCGAGAAAGGGCGGCTCG